GATGCGGCACTCTGCTCCGAGGTGTCCGTCAAGTCGCTGCTGCAGTTAATAGGTTCTTTATGATTGGCTGGACACTCGAAATGGACACAGTGAAACACCTTAGGAAGTTTTAAAAGATTTCACAGTTTAAATGTTGTGACGTTTCAACACTGAAAGACATTAATTTCATCTGTTAGTAATAAAAGCTTTTTGTCTATTTTTTTTTCTCCTCTATACCGGTGTCACTCTCTCTAGTGGACTCCTACATTAGGGTTGAACAGGGATGTGCCCCTAGGCAGGGTGCGGCTTTTAGGATTGGATTGGATTTTAGTCTCAACTACCATTTTGGATTGAATGAAATCATTCTGTTGCCATTAAGACCATCAAACAAGAACTCCTTTGTTAGTACTAGCTAGTCCAAAAGGGATCTTACAGATAGTGGCAACAACTCCACAGTAAAACAAGATACAACATGGCAGCATGCACAAAATTCTCAATTCAAAATAGCTGATATCTGTCTTGGCCCCATCAGGGAAAGTTTCTCGAATAAGACCTCCTTGTGGACCTAAATGGGGGGGGGGGGGTGAGTATTTGTGGTGCACAGAGGTGCAATGGTGCACACTGTACATGTCCGGTACTAAATATACCGTTTTTAAGTTAATTTTGAGAAAAATTGTCTCTGAATCTGCTGAACATGGCTAGAAAAGACTAATAGTAACAGGTGATGCTTTCCAGTCAGTGACTCAGGGTATATTTGAAGATACATGTGTATGCTCCTTTCAATAGCTTTCCTCTCTGAGCAATCAATTTATGGGCTTTGTTACCTCATTTGCAGTGTTGTCAACACCGACAATACGCACAAAGACCACCGGTCTGGGCTCAAAGGAGAGATTTTGCCATGACCTGCATAAGGTAAAAAAAAAAAAAAAAAATTAACTTTAGTAGCTCACACAATTACTGGTAACCCAGTAGTTTACATTGTGGGCTGTAAACAAATAATTCAAATTGAACATAATATTGTTAAGAATCCCAACTGGCCGGAGGCAAACCAGTTGGCTATTTACAAGCATGGCTGAGGATTTGAACTCGGAGCTACTGCGAAACAAATCCAGGGAGTGGTCAGGGCGGGACTTGAACCCAGGAACGACGGATTGCGAGTCCGACACGCTGACCACTCGACCACGCTGCCTCCCTGATAAAAGAGGAGGAGGAGAAATTATGCAGAGTAAAAGTTATGGAATCCTTGAGCATGTCAATAAATTTCAAAACAATTTGTTGCAGACTAACTATTTGGAGTGAAAACAGCAACCCCGTTATTAAAACCCCACATCCAATTGAAATTCAAAGACACTGAACACTCTCAAATCAGCATTGCAATCTGTACTACGCACTGAGTTTCCTTGTGATTTGCAATGAAAGAGCCAAGGCTGACAATTATCTCTTCTCAACTGAGTTATGCAACAAACTGTTCAATTGCTAGTGAATGCTCAAAATTTCCTCAGTGAAAATTTACTGCTTGTAGAGTAAATCTTTCTAGATGGGAGTATTAATGGGGCAAGTGGCTTGGATGGGTTAAAACATGTTCACAGACTTATGCTAATACTACAAAGACCTGAAACAATGGTGACAATGGTTGTGATGATGGTAAGAATGAGTGAGATGAAACAATTCTGATGACCACACCTGCTGCTAATTATCACTAGCACTAAATTTTTTTTTTTAACCCTTTCAATTCAAGATCTCATTTATCTCTCCTTGCCATCTATCATACAATCATTACAATGTCGGTTTGGAGAATTTGGTATTGAGCTAATACGATTGAGCTAACCGCCTCCCGGTTAGCTCAATTGGTTAGAGCGCCGGATTGTGTTGTGCTGGAGGTCAAGGGTTTGAGCCCCAGCCAGACCAATACTCATGGTCTTAAAATAAGTGAGGAGAATTTGCTACCTTCCTATAATCAAGAAATGGATAGATATTCTAGTTTTCTCGGATAAGGACGAATAAACCGTAGGCCCCGTCTCCTGCAGGGTTAGGGGTAGGAGATGTTAATTTCCCATGCACGAGATTACTGTGTGGTGGATGTCCTCCCCTGGGTGGGATGGGTGGGTGTTGGCTCTGAAAAGCCCCTATGGGGAGTGGTCAATTAACCTATGTACGTATGTACGTAATCAACCAATAATCCTCCAATTGATATTTTTCTTTATTCTCATCACTTGTCTGCTGGATATTGTATGAATATTGTAAGGAGAAATTCTGTCTTGGTCATTCACAATTTTGCTAATTTTCCCCTCACCTGCAGACTTCTTTTGTCTTGTCCACCACTTGAACCCAATTCTGTTGATCACATGACACCTCTATGTAGTAGCTGTACTTTCGTTCATCGAGATCCCATAGAAGAAGTCTACAAGTGTAGCATATCATTCTTTTCAGATTGTAATATTGCTGTGATGGGAATAGATATTTTTTTTGCAGAACCCATCAACAATAATCTCAAGTTTTGAAACTTTTCTTAAGTTTTCTAGTCTTTGTTTTTACATCAGGAAAACAAAGTATGGTTTTATTTCTTTCCTCTATAATTTAACATGCTGCATTTGTTGATAATGTACATTGAGTAAGTTTTGTCAACATTAAATGCTATTGTTGTAGTTGTTTTCATTGCATTGGGTCTTCTAACCTACTACCAAACATGTCTACGCATCTGAGTTCTAACAGTTTGGCACTTGAAGGAAACTGAGTTAAAATTTCTCTCTGTTCTCATTCCCAGTCTTCTTGATGATATACTGGGTTACGGTTAGGGTATGGATCTGGGTTAGGGTTACTGCATACCTCATTGTGCCAACAATGTAGGGCTGAGGTAACTGAACCACAATGGCGCCACTTCCCAGTTGATGGCAAGTGTAACCAATGTTCCAGTCGTAATTTCCAACTTCTCCATTTAAAAGGGCATTGCGACTTCGGCTGACACCTTCTATCACACTTGCTCCCAGTGAGGGTAAGGCGACATTCTCAGATGGGACTACATACAGGGTAAAAAAAAAAAACATGACTCACTCAACAAAGCATATTTTCAAGTTGACTTTGACCCATTACAACCTGACATTACAATGTATAATCTCCATTCCATTTTCTATACATTTTTTAAGGTGCTACCAAGGAGAATTTATTTAACAATCAAGAATTTCCTTCATTTGTGACCTTGATGTGTGGTTGAAAAAGAGGCTAGATGCTAGTCACTTTTTGAGGTCAGAAGTTTAACAAAGAATTCCTTAGAGCCCCGAGGTGAAAAACCAAAACCAAAGTATGGGTAATCGTGACAACAACATAGCGGTAGCTCAGAAGAAAACATCACAAAGGGCCAATGATAATTCTAAGCAAAAACAAACACGCCACCTGATGTGTGAGAAAATGCTGTGACTTGATTGGTTTTAGATTTGAATCTGGACGGTGAAACTTGGAAAAAACTTATTAAGCTAAACAGACATGATTCTAATTTCCTAAAAGTTCCCATGGTAAGTTTGTCACTTTGCCTTGACTTGACCCATCCAAAAATACCAAACTCAGGCTAACAAAACTCACCAATAACACCATCCTCTCCAAGTTCATATGTAGTATTAGAGTATGAACACTCAAAATGTACCAAATGGAAAACCTTGTTGACAGTGTTGTGAACTCCATAGACACGGATATACCTATAACAACAAAATTGAGGAAATTGCATTGGGAACAAAGAATAGGTAGGTCAGGTCCGTACTCCAACCAAGTGGTCCATTCAGTGGAAGATTATCCCAGTTTCCATAGCACGAAGCCACAAGGAGTTTAACCACTTCACCCTGGATAGGACGCCAGTCCATTGCAAGGTTACCCCCCCCCCCTGGAATTTATCAGGCTTCCCTAACAATTTGCTGGTTCCCATTTATAATCCAGGGGGGAGAGAGGCACTGTAAGCATAGCTCAGGTGTTTAGCCCAAGGACACAACACTAAGACTCAGCCAGGTCTGGGACCCAGACCTCTCCACTGCATCTCTAACAGGAACTGCAAAAGCATCCCTATTAATACATTAATTTGAAGCAGTATTTTGTTCACTTGTTTACACTTTATCACTCTTATATAAAAAAATAAATACTCTGTAGAAACCATGGCATTTTGCCCAAGACTTAAGTCCTTTCTCAGAAATTCTATAGGAGAATTCATTACCTGAGGGGGTTCCACGTTAAATTGTACATGAAAACTGATATTGCATAAATCCCAAAGGAATGTCGAGTGCAATATTGGTTTGCAGGTGCAATTTAATGCAGAATTCACGAGTCCGGTAATGGATTTTCCTTGAATCACATAATTGAATGAAAAAGAAGAAGAAAAAAAGAAAACTAATAAAAATATTGTTTGTTCTTATCATGAGTGCAAAACAAGAGATGCCAAACAATTTCAATTAGCCTCCTTTTTAACTACCAATTCCATGCTAGATACCTTGCTTCATTTACCAATCAGAAGGCTAGATTTTATTTAATTATGCAATTCTAACATTAAGCCACTGACAGTGCATATAAAGAAAAAGTACAGATTTCTCTAGCTTCTCCCGTTAAAACTTAATACAAATTCTCACGTTGAATTGACTCTTGCAAACTCCTATCAATATTGATTAAGAAGCTAAGATATACATCTTTTAACTGCAGATTCTTGCACATTTACTTGAAAAAAAATTTTCTTCATCATCACAATCAAATAGTTTTGGTCTTGTTTACACTCAACCTTTGATCACTTACCTGACAACTCTTGGTTTAAAGTACAACCTTTGCCAGGACCTGCAGAAGTACTTGGAATAATCAACCACTCTAATCCAGTCTTCATTGTCCACAGACACCTCAATGTAATATGAATAAGACCTTGGGTCTTTGTTCCATAACAACAACTTGATATTGTTTATTATACTAGGTCTGCCCAAAGCAATACAGATCCCCTTGTCTCCTTCTAGAATGAGGTGTCTAGTAAATCCCCGGTCCAGATCAAAATTTGTAGTGTCACCATCTAACAAGGACTCTCGCATTTCGCCTTCGATCACCTCAGCACCATGTCGGGAAGTCGCAATGTTCTCATCTGGAACTAGAGAAGAATTGAACTTGAAGAAGAAGAAATGTGAAAAATCAAGGGGAAAATTTAGTTCAAGCTCAAAAAAAAATTTGAATTTAGCAGGGGTTTCATTAAGAGCCAGGTACCAGGCAAATTGACTGGTTTTGAGGACGGTTTTACCCACCTGGTTTGACCATCTTAAGGCGAGTTTATCTTATAAAGAAGTACAGTTCAAAAAGTTTTGCCCACTTGTGAAAACCAGTAGCCCTCCTGCTGAAAACGTCAACGAAACCCCTAATTTAGTATCTAATTTTCCTTATGTTATCACAGCTTTAAACAAACATACACTATAGATTGCCCACCAAACAACCACCGGATTGTTAAACAAATTCTCCTTGTCATTCCAATAGGAAATGCATAGAGAACAGTATGGAGAATAAGGATGCTGATGTTAGGGTGTTAAACATCCAACTAATTTACCTTCCTGACCTTAAGTTCATTTTAACCACGTTCATTTTAACCGCATCATTTTAGTACCATCGTTGATTACCAAACTGTTTCAAATGTTGTGCATTTACTTACCCAAATGCCCCCGGAAGTTCATTTCATTAACTCTGCTTTCTGTCTTAATTTGAATTGCATCTAGAATAGCATCAGCAGAGAAGAGCTCTGAAGGCCGCACAATGTTAAACAAATCATGTAAGCTTATAAGGGGAAGTCGAACTTTATCCAAAATGACCTTGTAGTCTCCTTCACTCATCTCTTCTGCAGATTCGACCCACTCCTGCACCGCCCTAAAGATTTGATTTTCAGGCGCACAAAACGAGTCTCTTTTAACGATTTCTATCAAAGCCGATTTCGTCAGGCACGAAAAGCCATCTGTTGATAAAACCTCCACGGCATTCCTATCCAGAAAACCTAAACAAGTTGAGCACAAATCATTCATTTGGTAGAGTACAGCGGCATCAAAAACCACACATACGTTTCTGATGCTTAGAACTGATTTTAAATATCCTTGAAGTGCACTTTCCAAAGCAAGAAAACCATATTTATGTGCAAGGCTTAACAGCTCCAAGATCGTTTCCTCCTTGTAATCGCTGAGAAATATTTTTCCGCTGTAAACATATTTTAGTAAAGCATCGAATGCGGAAGCCGTTGTGTCTTTAACTTCGATCTCTGTTTCTGGGTTGGTTTCTCTCATCCCACCATACAATAGCGCCCTGAAGTACTCACTCCGGGCAGCTAAAACGACCCTGTGAGCGAAAATCTTGGAGCCGTCGACGTTAAAAGTAACGTCTGTAAATTCTTGTGAGCGATAAAGGGCGCTCGATTGCGAAGACAGCAACTCAGCATGGTCGATTTCTCCAGCCGCTATCTGCGCACTTCCCAGACGAAGATCTGGACTGTCCCCCATAAGAAAGTACTCTCTACAGAGCTATCCTCGCGTCTTTGCTCAGGTCTGTTAAACGAGGAGTGCCAAGTTTTTTGGATGTTTACACTAAGTGCTTCCCCAACGTAGAACTTTGCCCAACATTCCACGTCAACTTTGTAACCGCTTACGTTGAATACCAGGCCCCAGCCGGTAGGGACTCGGAACCAATCCTCTCGATGCCGCAGTATGAGAGACTTTTGTGTTCATTGAGGTTTCGCTATAGATTTTACGCATGTCAGAAAAGAAAGACAACTTTAGAGAGAGTTTACATGGATTTGTGACTTGTAACGGCTGCCCCCTCACCAGTCTCTTTCGTGGCAGTTAGACAAGTTACAATTTGGACGAAATTTGAGCCATCTCGCGCGGGCAGGTGAGCTGAAGTGTTTAGATGAGAAAAAGTTGTCTAACCCGACAAGGTTCCCCTAACTGCCGAGGCGAGACAACTTGCCTCACGAGTTGTCTCGCCTCCCGACTGTCCCGAGACGATTCTGCCATTTTTCGGAGCGGTTGGTTGAATTCAGTTTCAAAAAGGGAAACGTTAGCTCGGCCAGGGTCACTCAGAGGAGAGTTGTTTCGGGTACCTGACACCATGAAAATGGGCCTTAGACGAACGCAATGTAGAAGAAGACATTTAAATTGTTTCCTTAGGACCGCCATTTTTGTCCCACATGTAACCTTTCTGGCTGTCTCGAGGGAGACTGGTGAGGGGAAAGCTGTTACAAATCACGACTCCATGGAAACACTCCCTAAAGTTGTCTCCTGGGGAACGGTTCTCTCGGATCCATGAACGTGACAAAATGAATGAAATATTTCTTTCTACTATCTTCATTTCAAGGAAGAACCACAACACGAATTTAAGATGAGAACATTAACGAAGGAGTCTAATTCCAAGGAAATATGTGATAGTAATTTATTTTTTATGAGTTCGTCTCTGGAGTAAATATTTTTAAAAAGAAGGCAACTTGATAAGTTCTATTTACGGGGGGGAAATATTAGATAAGAACTTTCCAATATTGTAAAAATGATCTGCCGCTATCAAATTTATGTAACAAACCGGAAACAACAATTAATTTTTCGTAGCAGGGAAATGCAAGGCGAAAAAGCTGTCATTTTGTTTGCGCTCAGACCACTGATAACTGACTAGGCAAGGTTTAATAAACTCTAATCCGTGTATATTAAAAAGGAAATTAGAGAAAAATTAAAATCGCCCATAGTAGTAAGCGATAACGACTTTTGGCCGAGAAGGACTGTAGCAAGTTGATGAGTGTCTCATTGATTCAGCATTTAAACATTAAGAAAAAAACTTCAATTGTTAATGATAAAATAAAAAAAAAAAACAAAATAACAAAAAAAAAAAAAAAAACAGGTGCATGAGAGATCTTTGAAATCACTTCCAATTTACTGAATCAGTCCCAATTTTACAGTCACGTACTTCCCTC